TTTTCTCACACTTTTAACAACCCCACATTAATTTTAGCTCTTCCATCCCTGGTATCCATTATAATAGACTAAACCTTCCTAAATTAACAAAGACAGCAGCGGTCAAGAAGTATAAAAGCCACCTCACTAATGATTAAAACAAACAAGCCAACACAAAATTAAATGTACGAAAATGCCATATAAATTACCATCCTCTGAAAAGACAAACACAAACATAGACAGACACACACTGTAATTAAAAGTTTATATAAAATGCATTTTTACTCAGTGGAGGTCTCTAGCATATACTGGCTCCCTAAAATGTGACTCAGTCATCATACCATGGACAAATTCCACCTGGTTATCAGGAATTAGAAAAAAATATCTAGTTCCAGAGAATTTATGGAGAATAATTTCACATTGATGTCATCAAGGGTGAACCAAAAAAAAAAAAAAAAAAAAGACATTCTATTCTCTATAATATGAAGTGTAGGTCTCCAAGCTGGATAGTTAAAAAGCTACAGTTGTCTTTCTCTTAAGGAGCTTTAATCTATCTGTAGAGTTATGTTTTTATTGGGCTGGGATATTGCAACACCACAATTTGTTTTTCAGTCATTCTCTTGCAATTTGGTGGTGTGCTTGTGGTCATTGTGCTGTTGAATGATGCAATTTTAACCATCTGTCAGATAGACAGCCTCACATTTAACTCTAGAATATTTATATACAGAGGAGTTTCTGTTTGACACAGTGACAACATTGTGCCCAAATGTTAAGGTAGCAGCAGCTGGCAGGGACTCACCCTCTTAATTAAGAATGTACTTTGTTTTTTACAGTATTGCACATGAAAACTCTGTTTTTCACATGACTGTTAACTTGAGCTACACATTTGACAGTCCATATTGACAGTGTAAATAGATATTTACCCTAAAATAATGAAAAACTGAAGGACCTAGCTCAAGTAGTTTTCTAAATAATTACATTTTTAAATGGCACAACAAAATACATCCCTACTGTCATCCATAGGAATACTTGGATGCTAACAACAGTTCAGAAGTGCATCTTTCCCCTCAGTGTTTTAAAGGAAAATCTGTCCATGGTCAGGTGGGAAGTTTTTGTTTCAATCTGATAAATTGAGTTGATCCAAACACTCGCTTGCTCACACACATCACGGGTAAGTGGGAAGAAGATGGATGGCTGGATGACTTTTTTAAAAAAATGCTTTTTTAAAAGAGTTTCATTTTGACATGAAAGTGTGTGTTTAGAGTTTTGACCCCACAATACTTGTTGTCAGCAATCACATTGAGCTAACAACCCTGTATCCAGTTGTCAAAAACCACTCAAAGGCACTGCAGACATTGGTGTTTTGAGCAGGAATGCGGGGTGATAGACTCAACTTAACTCTCAAGCTAATTTAAAAAAAAAATCCAATATTTCTTCAACCAGTTAATTTTGCGATTATAAACAGATAGACAGACCACACCATGAACTATTTTGATGACACTCACCAGGTGTTGAGTCCACGTTTTCCCACGCAGCAGCTCCACCCAGAACATCATCCACCTCCTTTAACTTCGGATACTTCCTGTTATTTACCTACAGGGGTTTAAACAGATAACGTGAGGCTCTCAGAAGCCACGCTAACCTTAATGTAAGATGTGATACATTATATGTGAAATATTTCGTCGTTACTCACCTTTCGTGTGATGTTGTGTACGTAGGGACAGGTGTTACACGCGAATCTCATGCACTTCTGCCCTTCCTCGACGATTAACACGTTCCCGCAGGTTGGACAGAAAAGAAGCATGTTAGCACGTACTTAAAAAACAAAACCCTGTTCGATTTTGAACTATTAAACAACACTAGCACTCTGTGGACTCAGCTGTAAACACTGCTGCGTGTGGAGCACCGGAAGAGAAGAAGAGAAAATGAGATGCACCCACATTGAGAGTTCGGTGAGAAACAAAGGCTTATTAAGCGGAACCATGTTTTCTGAGCCCCATTTCCTCGCCGGGTTATTATTGGTGACGGACGCACTTACTTCCACGGGCTTCCAGATAAATTTGTTTCCATTAAAAAGTATATTTTCCCCTAAGTTATAAATTAAGTCGATAAACTGC